AATTTTGCAAATCTAAATACAGATTTGAATTGTACATATTTTGTACATTTTTATACAATATACGTTGTTATGATAATATGGATGATTAAAAAGTTGCCCATTCGCGGCGAATTCAAAAACTGCTATAAAAATTGGACTGGGTGAAATTTGGGTACACGATGATAATTTCTCAAATCTGATGGTTGATTTGAATTGTACATATTTTGTACATTTTAACGACGTATACACTGGAGGTGTACGAAATTAAAAAAAAAAAAAATCCGTAAATCGAACTTTTTTGATTTTTGAACTTTTGGCTCCAGATAGTGACCCGATGAAAATTTTTCAAATCTGATGGGTGATTTGAATTGTACATATTTTGTACATTTTAACGACGTATAACTTTGGTGTTGTACAAATTCGGGTAAACATTTTCCGGGTTTTGATATTTTCAATTTTTAAAAATCCAAATTCTGAAAATTTTTTGTTGGTACATAATCATAAAAATTGTTGTACATAATTGTACATAATTAGTACATTTTAGTAGTATATACGATTTTTCGAAAATTGACATCGACCGGAAATTGACTACCTATCCTATTTTTTCTTAATTCACCAAACACTTCTGGCAAACAAATGGTGGTGTACCAGTCAGAATTGACTGTTCTACGATCCTCTAGTGGAACTGTTGCCACATGTCCACTAATTGCGAAAAAACAGGCAACCATTTGCTTCGCAACACTTCGAGCACGAACAACTTTCGTTGGATTATCTTCACTTTGGAAGACCCATACTGTCGACTGCTGTTTAGTTTCGGGCTCATACGCATATATATATCCACGATTCGTCGCCTGTGACGATGTTATAGACGGAATATGATGCACCGCGGTTATATTTGTTGAGCATTTCATTGCACCAATTCACACGAGCTAATTTTTGGTCATCGGTCAATTTATGTGGAATCCAACGAGAGCAAATCTTTTTTACGGCCAAATGTTCATGCAAAATCGTGTGTATGCTTCTCATACTAATGCCCAAGGATGCCTCAATCTCACGGTATGTGACATGACGATCTTGCTTTATCATGTTTCTGACAGCATCGATAGTTTCTGGAACAACAACCGATTTTGGACGACCTTCACGGAATTCGTCGATGAGCGAATGACGACCACGATTGAATTCAGTAAACCAGTGATATACAGTGGCCTTGCATGGAGCTTCATCGCCAAAGACCAAATGAAGTTGATCAAAACACTGTTGTTGAGATACACCCAATCCAAAGTCGTAGTAAATTATCGCACGAGAATTTTCACGAGTAAAATTATTTTTTTTTGTTGAGACGCAATTTAGATGTCACTGTAAACAATACAAATAGCGCGCGTATGACAGAACGTTCTGAGATCGTTTATGCTACCAAATATTAAACTTAACGAATATGACAATGGTTTGTATCGGACAACACTAAATATTGCCAATTCTATATGGAGCAGCCCTCGTAAAATAAGACATTTTCTTGATTCAAGCAAAACTTTACTAAGCAAGAATTAAAACGCATATTTTGCTTTAATTTAATTTAATTTATTATTATTATCATAGCTTCTGGCCAGAGAACCGAGGGGTTGGATTACCCCCACCCCCTGAAGAAAGATTTTGGGAATTACCCCTTTAATTACAAATTGCGAAAAATATTCTTTCGATTTGCTAGGGATTCTCGCGAAACAAGTGAAGACCTTTTTCAGCTCTTCACTTTCTGAAGCAGGAGAAAATATTCAACTTTGCTAGGGTTTTTTATGGCTAAGGGAAAAATCTTTTAATTTGCTAGGATTTTTTGGCGTACTGAAAAATCTTTCAATTTTGCTTGGGTTTTTAGAGACAAATGCTCTGAGACACCTCCCCTAGGATTGAACATTATCAAATGATATATTTTTTGAATTTGAGAGAGTCCAAATAGAAAAAGTTACCCCTTTACATTTTTGGAAAATTTTGAAATTAACCCCCCCTGAATCGTCACCTGCAGAAGCTGTGATTATTATGTCTTTTTATTTATTTAGCTTTGGTTTTTTTTTCACATATTTTGGTTATGTATTGTAGATATCCGTTTTGGCGGCGCGCATGACACTACAGACTTAAAAAATAAACGTTAATTAGTGATAAAAAATATTTATTTTAATGTATCATAGAATCAATTTTTTATATAAATTCTTTGTTTTTGATTCACACATTTTTTTTAATTCACGGATTTCTTGATTCACGAAGCCGGACTTCTTGATTCACATTTTCATGCGTTGGTTCACATTTTCTGCTTGATTCACGCTTATTTTAAACTATGGTCGACACACAACCATTTGCCGGAAAATCGAGAAAAAGATCGAAAAAAAAACACGAAATTGTATAATTTCATGAAGCAACTAGATAAAGCTACATTTATGTAAAATCCATTGATATTATGCAAAACTCATAAATTGTTGTATTCAAATCATTTATTTTTAAGATTTTCGGGTTTTGGAAAATAGTCCTACATTTGGATATTTTACCATAATATCATAATTTGCCGTGTTTTAATTTGAACATGGTAACCAATCTAAGCAAGAAAGACAGTGAGAGATATAGAGAGAAAGAGATATTAAAATATGTAATTTTGCGCAGGCGCCGTAAAATACTAAATATATTTCAGCTATGCGATCAAGAAAAGATAGCACTGATTCAATAGTAAAACATAAGTGTCAACGGTGCCGAATTGTGTATTTGCTACTGAAAATTAAATAATGGAAAATTGTGCAGTTTGCAATAAAAATGCTCCATTCAAGTGCACGGCTTGTAAGTCAGTGAATTATTGCAGTGTTGATCACCAAAAGAAAGATTGGCCGAAACACAAAATCAATTGTCGACCATTCAAGATCGCAACATCAGATGAACTGGGACGATATTTGATTTGCACGCGTGATATACCCGCAAAAAGTGTGATATTTATAGAACAACCATTGGTAATTGGTCCGAAGTGGGAATGTACGGAATCACCTGATTTTCCGTGCGTTGGATGTTTCAAGCCAACACCAATCAATGGAAATAAATGTCCAAAGTGAGGAATTGTTTTTTTTTTTCATAAATATTTTGTAATATAAATATGTTTGTATTAGTTGTCTATGGCCAGTATGTCAAACCAATTGCATAGGACTCAAAGATCCACAAATGCACGGAGTGGAATGTTTCATTTTATGTATGCGTCGTAATACGAATCAAACCTTTAAATATCGAAGTGAAGTCTTACTTACCCTACGGTGCTTATTACTGCAGTGGAAATATCCGGATCGTTGGGAGAAAGTAATGATGCTTGAAAGTCATGATCAGCAACGTCTTGGCACGCGTTATTACAAGTAAAACAATCATAAATTCGATTATAATGATACATATCCAGCTCATTAATTTTATAATTTCCTCAGAGAAGCTGATGAACGTATTGTATCATATTTGATGGAAAATTTCTGGTCCGAAATCGATAACATTGAAAAAGAGCTGGGAAAAAAAATTGTTGAGAAACGCGACAAAAAAATGTTACATCGAATTTGTGGAATTATGGAAGTGAATGCTTTAAATATTGCCTTAGGCCATGAAAATGATGAAGAAGTTAGCGCCTTATTTGAAAATGCTTGTATTTTGGAGCACTCGTGTCTACCCAACTGTTTTTATACATTTGATACGAAAAAAAATTTCAAAATAACAATGCGCGCCGGAAGAACTATTAAAAAAGGCGAACACCTAAGCATCATGTACACTCACATGCTATGGGGTATGCCAATTTTTTCCATTCATTTTATCTTCAATATTTTTATTCTATTTTTTTTTGTGATTTTCTCCTTAGGTACTCACATGCGAAATGAACATCTTCAAACAAATAAATACTTTGTATGCAAATGTGATCGATGCATTGATTCAACCGAACTCGGTATATGACAGAATTGTATATTACAAAATTGATTATGATACATATATTTATATATATATATTTTTCTAGGTACAAATTTTAGTGCAATGAAGTGTATTGGTGATATTGGGAAGACGTGTGGTGGTGTATTGCTACCGAAAGATCCGATTGATCTTAATTCTGAATGGTTTTGTGACCGATGTGATGTGTCCATCCCAAATCAACAAATAGAAATCATTTTAACGAATATAGAACAGGAAGTGGACGATTTGATGATGCCATCTGTATCGAGGAAAAATCAAGCATTAATTGGACCACAAGATTTTGAAACGCTCATCGAAAAATTATCGCATTTGTTAGACGAAAATCATTTTCATATGTTCGCACTTAGACATTCGCTGATACAAATGTAAGGCAAATTCATTATTTTATAAAAATTCATTTTTTATTTAAATTGTTCTATAATTCTCTTAGGTATGGACATAAAGAAAATTACATGCATCATGAATTATCCGACGAAATACTAGAGAAAAAGATCACAATGTGTGAACAATTGCTAAATATTCTTGATAAAATCGATCCAAATACAATGCGACTCACCTTATACACTGGCATCGTCTTGTTTGAACTGCATTTAGCTATTTTGGAGCAAAATCGCCGACAAATTACCAAAGGAATAGAATCGAATAAAAATATCTTACTTTTGGCTCAAAATTATTTACATCGCGGTAAGGAGGCACTCTTACTAAATCAAGACATTATTCAGGGTCGCCAACTTATCAAATCATTTGAACGGGCTGAAAATGGCCTACAAAGCATTCTTAACGCCTAAAAACGGCCACATGTGTCAAAGAATGTTTTATAGGATTAAATGGCACTAGTTTTTACAATTGACGCGAATTTTTACACATTTAGCTAAATAAAAAATGTTGAATCGAATTTTTTTTTAATCATTTGTTTATTTAATAATTAAGAGTCATCAAATTTAACAAGTGTTATATTCGTTCCCGCCCATTCAATTTTTGTATGCGTCGTATATTATGTCCATCGTGTTGAAATGATTTCAATTTATGTTTCAATTAAATTATGCTATTATTTTTTAATTCAACAAATTCGAGTTTCTTATTTTTAGCCATTTTTAATGCAATGTTTTCGTATTTATTTTACTACATTCGGTAATGAAATATTATTATTTATTTATTTTTATTAAACTAGTGGACTGACGTCTCCCAATGAAATCTCTATATATCGAATATTTAATTTTACTGTAAAAAATCTTTGTAAAAATGAAAATTTCAATCCACTGCTTTAGTAGAAGAAAATTATAATAAACTACTTTCGTAATTTATCGTTTAATTCATGAAAAATGTTCTAAAGTATTAATATAGTAGGAATTTTGGCAAAGTCTTTATCAAAATGGAATTCGAGAGCGAAAATTGGAAACGGATTGATACGTTGTAAAAGTGTGTCCAGCTATTTAAATCCTTAGAAGATGTCAAATGGAAATTAAAATGGAATTGGTTTCATTTTATCGGGATGCATTAAAAATAGACTATACCAAAGCGGAGTTTTTCTAGTCAGATTTTATGACTGAATTCAACAACCTTTTTTAATTTATTCGAACTCTTGTGGCAAGTGAACTGAAAACAGATTCCCCAAATCCGTTGAATTACAATGTTTGAATATTAGATTTATTATGGGATATAAGGAACATAACGCATTTATTTCCATTGCCATTTTGCAATAAATTATTATTGTTGTTTTTTTTATTTATTTTTTTTTCAATTAAATTAAAATTTTGGAATCGATTTGAATGGGAATAGATTTCCGTATGCCATATTTTGCCACTTATCTACAATTTGAATAATAATTAATGTTTCGTATAATGCATGTAATTATGAGTGAAAAAGGCTTCCATTGGAATTTATTGTGATTTTCGCATAATTTTCTTTTTTTCGATTTTCTTATTTAGTTCACATTTTGACCAAAAAAGCCTTTCCCTTTCAATTATCGATTTATTTATTCAATTGATTCTGAAAAAAATGGCTCATTTGGCATATTTTATTGCAAATGATCTGTTTCTGTTTTTCAGTTCGTTTGTTTGTTGTTAATTTTGTTTTCTTCTTCTTTTTTTCATTCAAAATTGCTCAAATTGTTCTTATTGTGATTTTAGCTCTTTTCCAATGCTATATGACACAATTTTGCTCCAGTCTATTTTCGTTCGAGTGACCGGTAATTGTCTTCGCAACGCCTTAAACGTGGTATCTGACATGGTTTGATAGTTTTCCGATATTGCCGATTGATATTCATTTTCTGCTTCTTCAATTATACGAATGATCTCTTTAGCCGTGGCCACTTCATTTGTTACAATAATTGATTCGCGACATTCCTTTGCAGACACTAATTGTACGTTACCGTCTTCATAGTAATGGATCTGTAATTTTCGTACAACATATATAAAGAATCAATTGCACCGAAATTTGATTCAAGTGGAAATTTGTTATGTATACCTGTGCTTTTAGAACACCTTTCAGTTCACATGCACTGCCACTGCCTGGTGTGAATGTAAAATGCCATTGTGATCTCCATCGACCGTTCCAAAAGTTTTTCGGTTGAAATTGATGATCCTCGATGCAAACATTTAAAGTAATTTGGCCATTTTGTGAGCGACCAAATACTGACGAAACACCATGCCGATAATGATTGGCGGTATATGCTAATGTCTCAATATCAAGAGCAGATCGCCATAGTTCGGCCAATGAATCAGGTTCGTACGACTGATATTCACTGGCCTCTTTTCGCAAATGATCATATTTAAATGATTGCTTCGTTCGTGGATCGTAAAAACGGCTACCACCTACACGATACCGTTTCACAATAATAATGAAAAAAGAAAATATATTAAATTTAATACATTGAGATTACATCAGAAAAACACAAACAATTGGATCAATTTTAATCGCTAAACAAAGCTTCTAACGGAACTGTCATATCGTTGTAAACAAAATACGCTTGTATGAAGTATGAGTAATCGGGCGTGTATATGTCATTTTTTATTGCTGTGAGTATGATAGTTGATAGTATTGTACAGTGTGTACAACTGTACACTTACCCAAATCGTTGAATTCTGTGATAATCGTTTGATGATCGGAACCTTCTATTCGAACCGGCGTTAATTGATCTTTATTGTATTGTGCGAATGCATGGCTTGCACCTTCTTTAAGTAGACCATCATTTTTCAGCAGTTCTCGAACATCGTTGAATACTTCGTTAAATTCACCGGGTGGTGCATGCAATATGAAATCGGATACGATGCGAACTTTCTCGGGATCACTAATCTCTTCCATTCTGCTCGTACTTAATTAATCAATTTATTTCGAATGCAATGAAATTTAAAGTCTCGAACCAATTGAATAACGTCTACTGTAACCGCGCCTTATTCTATTCCGTCCAATCGGCGCAAATAAATCCAAGAGACGATATTTTGCCCGTGAAACCGATGAATGTTGTGGCGGAGCACCAGAAATGATAAAATGCGTAACAAAAATTAAAAATAAAACCAATAAAAATAATAAACAGAAGGGAAAAAGGAAAATAAAAACAAAGATTTCGTTTGTGAGTTCAATTTTTTTGGTTGAATTTTTGTGGCACCGAAAAGTAATTTAATGAAAAAGAAAATCAAGGTAAAAATTTGTATGCCTTTTGTTTTTGGTCTGTTTTTTTTTGTGTGTGTCGGTTTCGACACGAATTTTCAGGAAATTGGACTGAAGAAGCCGCAATTGTTTGGAGTTACACCTCTTATTTGGCTCACAAGTGTAAAATTATTCGAAATGGACACTTTGTATCGAATTTATCTGGAAAATTTTAAGTTGATTTATAATTTTTGTCACATATTAAACGACCACTTTCTTCCTACTGAACTAGATTTGCTTGTATATTGTAAATGTTAGCACTATTCGCTTTCTATCGCTTAAATGATATCATCTAAAACCGAAAATCTTGCACCCAAAAGCGACATCAATATTATTCTCAGTTCATTGACAAAGAAATTAACACAATTACTCATCGAATGTCAAATGGATTTTGTTAAAGAATAAAACAAATTTACCGATTTGAGAATGGGGGTCCTGCTTCAAATTGCTTGTTGTTTACACGTATGAATTCAGAATTTTGATAGAATTGAATGAAAACTCCAACTTCAAAACTTGTTCGCTGGATTTACATTTAAAAAAAAATCATATTCGTCAAAATACCGACTTGTAGTTGTCTCTTTCACGCTCATTCACAGATACACGCATACGCACACATGCATACCGATGCCATCTAATACGTGGTGGGATTTTTGTATTCTATACCAGTGTATTTGTTCGTGCATTTGAATCAGAATGGAAATGCGTACTAGATTTCAACATATCTGCATATATTGCATGCGCCGCTAGATGGTAGACTTGGTCTTTTCTCTGCGGCCAATAAAATTTTTGTTTATAACATAAGCGCAAACAAAATGATGAAAAGAAGCAGCTGTATCGGCAAACATTTAAAATCGTTATCAAGTACTTGCATCCTTTAAAAATGATAACAAATCTCGCCTTAATTACTATACTACTGTAATCATTAAATTTTCAATTAAATTGAGTTCGTTTAAAAAAAAATTGAATGAAATTAAAAAACTTTTAATAATTCACAAATGTATACACACAATTTCAATATGTGATAACTTTCTACAATTCTTATTCGAATGCTTCAAAATGAATCCAATTGGACACTGTATTTATTCTATGCGCCCAATATTATTACTTCAATCAGCCAAACTGGAGTTTATTTATGCTGTCTGTCTCTGTCTTTCAAGATTGTCAAAACCGCAAACATACAAATCGTCCGCACACAACAGACTGTGAGTCATAAGCGCATACCGTGTATACGTTTAATAAAAACACATATACTTCTACTATATAATCATTTTTAATTTGATTTCTGTTTAATTAAAAAAAAAAAATCTGTTTTTTACACTCCCGATGGCCGAAAGATAAATGAATTTTTTTTAAAATAATTTAATGAAATATCGATGTTTTTCTCTCCAAAAAAATCTATTACTTCATGCAAAGCATTTTAAATGAAATCGATGTCAATAGATGTTTTCAAATCGGACAACACCATTAAAAAAGTTGAAATTTTCTTCCAAAAGAGTACAACGAGAATTGTAGAATAAATAAGCTATAGCTTTTGTTGCCGCTATTGTGATGCCGTTTGAATGGTTTGAGATTCAAACGTGTGCGAGTGTGTGTGAGTGTGTGTGAGTGTGTGTGAGTCAATGCATCTCTATACGAACTTTAATATGTATGCACAACACTCAATCAACAGCACAATACACAGTCATCGTGTTATCCATGTTGGAAACATAGCCGCACGGTAAAGCGGCAAATACCAAACCAAAAGTAAATAGCGACAATAGAAACCAGTTCATGTTTGTAGCTTGAGTGGTGAAGAGCGTGATTGCCGAATATCGCTGCTCTCTGTCTCGATACGATCGTATATACACGGACGAACGAACCGATTGAAAGAAGTGGCAACAAGTGTTTGTGTATAAGTGTACGATAGTCGCGCTTTAAGTTCATTGTTCGTGCAAGTGATTTTTTTTTGTATACCTCCACGACATTCGCCGTCTTTTTCTCCGGATTTTTTTTTGTATTATAATACATTTTCTTTACCACAAAAGTGATTCATTTGTGTATTGATCATATTATATCGAAATGTCATTTCAACGTATAAAAATGAAAAAAAGAATCAAATGCATTTGAATCAAATTAATCGGCGATCACGAAAGATGATTCATTTGTTGGTTTCATACCATTTGTTTTTATAAACCCAGTGCGACAAAATTTATTTGTTTTTCGATTTCAATCAATGGAAATATTATGATGAATCGTGACATGAAATGGCTGATGTTGTTATTTTTTCCCCTTTGGGACAATCGAATCATCTCATTTGTGAATAAAACATACTAAAATCAGACATAAACTTCAAAATAATTTCATATTCAAACAAACAAACGTGTGAAACAAACACAAGCAGCAAAAGGATGGATATGAGTCATCAAGAAACGATTGCATCGATTTACCATTTTCTGAAAATTTGTGTGTGTTAAATTGAAAATTACTAGAAAAAAAAATTATATTATATTAGTATATATCTATCTATATATATAATAAAAGTGAACAAAGGTAATATATATAACGAACAAAACTGTCCAAATAAATAAAACGTAACCATGGATACAAAACAGTGTCGACGCTTTCAGTATAGCGTCAAAATGTATTTCACATTGATTTTATTGATCGTACAAATAATAAATGCATCGACCGGCCATGATGAAAGTGCCAATAATAATTTGAAGTTAAGCAATAATTTGGATTCGCCGCGACGCGATATCGCATCAGTATCGGTGACCGAAGTGAATCGTAGTCGAAATTTGCGACAGGCCCTTGGTCAGGCCTATGATGATAATGCATACCAATACAGGGAAATTGTGCCGTCCCATTCGTATAATCATGTGCATAGTGATTTCGATAATAGTGTTGAACGAAATAGTTCCGATAATCGTAAGCCAGCCTTTAATGGATGCAAAGATTATGCACCAAAAGTGAAGGAAGAACAACAATGGAATACTTTTGTGATAAAAGTCGATGCCGAAGATCCAGACGAATATGATCACATTACGTATAGCTTTGAAAAGTCAGCAAACGAACGGGCCAAATTTCGTATCAATGAAAAAACCGGTGAAATCGTCACGTCATACACATTCGATCGAGATGAACCGATACGTGAAAAGGAGGTGAGTTAAACAAATGAATAAACTTTAGCCAACATAATCAACCGGAAATTGCACACTTTTTATATGGAAAAAAAGAGGAACAAATATTTGCTACTTGGCATAAAATGTGTGCAAATTATAAACAGAACCATGTTTGGTCAATTCGGTGTACAATTCACACTGATGTGAATCGGATAGTGGAATATTGAACAATGATTCCATCAAAAATATGTGTTTCTTTTGAATATCTTTAAGAATACTTACGGCATCGTAATAAATACGACAACTAGACAGTTTATCGCTGTCTAAAAAATCAAATGTGTGCGCTCATCAACTTTTTTTTGTTACTAATTTTGTGTTTTAGTAGTGGTACGCTAATCAAATTTCAACCATATGGTATGCCATAATGAGATTTACCTTGTTTTTCCTTGTTCCTTTTATCCACACTCCATTAAGCTAAGAAGCGAGAAATTCCAAGCAATGGAGTTTATTCAAAATACAAAAAAAAACGCTTCTCTCGGGAGTTTATTATTTAACCATTAGAGTCGTTTGCTCTTAAAATCAACCAAAAGGAAAACATGCGAGACCCGTTTTTTGGGTTGAATAAAAGAACACAGATGAAAGGTCGTATAAAAAAGTATACAGACGTCCAACAAATACTCGGTGTGCATGCAGTTGCATATAGATCTTTTATTGATCATTCTCTATAAGTGAATAGTATGCGTGTGTGTCTATATATATGAGAAACATTGTTCACGTAACGTATATATACATATAATATAAAGTATATTCATTTCGTCATCGATCGTCTGCTTTCCATTTTAGAAGTATATGTTTTGTAAATGTATGTTTGATTGTGAGAGAGAAAGAGAATCCATCGAAAAATTACCGAAAGAAGTAAAAGAAAACGAAAGACAAAAATTACATAGGTAGAGAGAAGGTAGAGAAAACATCCATCTTAATTTTTATTGTAGATAGAGAGAGAGAAGCGAACAAGAGTATGTATATGTAGTTGATTTTAGGTCTCACGCGTTTGTAAGTGTATGCATGTAAGAAGGTTCGTGTCATCGACGTAGCAGTCTTATGCTTCACAAATTCTAAATGGTTTCTTTTTTATTACCTGTTGTAGCAGCCATTCCAGGTGAACAAATGTCGACTAGAACGATAGTGGCAGGCCCAAAACCAAGATATTAAAAGTAAATAATGAGAAACAAGAGAAAAATGTTGAACGACAGTCGTCGACAACACAGATACGCACAACGAACGAAACGAGAAAATAGAGAGAGAGAGAGAGAGGATAAATTTTTTTTATTGGTTTTGCTCCAGTGCACTGTTGCCGCATCGTATTTCATTCTTCTTCGCGTCCAAACCTTTTTCACTCTATTCTCTCGATTCTTTTCAAAATTTTCTTCATGCTTTGCTCTCACAATAATTTAACCGACAAAAAAAATATACAGCGTTCAGCATGACTATTTCTAACCAAATTGATCCAAGGCGAAGTGAGATTTATTTCGAAATTATATTCGTCCGTTAATTCTGGAGTATGTGTTCAAATCTTTCATGATTTGATGTTTGAATGGAAAAACATAGCGCATAAAACAATATGATTTGAGTAACACGAAAAATTATGTTTGCAAAGAATCAATATGATTCTTTTGCCTTTTCCTCTACAATATTTCTTATGATCTGTAATGCACTTCTTCTCAATTTTTTTGTATACTCTCGAAACGACAGAATCAGAAAATACTGAGCCAGCGAAAGAATGATTCGAAAAATAAAAAGAATAAATACTCGCGTCAATATACACATATATACACTCACAAAGCTCACTCACACTCACATAAATGCATGCCACATACAAATGCACACCTTTGAATTGCGATACAAAGACCAAAATGCTGAACTACCTTAAACGCGAAGAATGTCTCTTATACACTGATATGCATTTCGACGTATGTATTCAAAGTACAACAACCACGTTCCATTGTATGTAATATCTCAGTGTATGAGAAGTATATTCATTTTATAGTCGCTAAATACATCGAATTTATACACCGAAAAACTTTTGAAATAACAAATGGACGCGCGAATGTTCGGCAATGAAAAAACATTAAAATGAATGAAAAAAAAAATCGTAAAAACTAAATTGCAAGACAACTATGAAAGGAAGTAACAAACAAACGCTCATACGAAATGTACTAAATGTTTAGTGAAAATGAGAGAAAACATGATACGAAGAATAATATTTGTTTGCCTATATGTGCATAGGGAAAGAATAAAAAAATATGCCCAAACGATAAGAAATGAATTTTTCCGAAACATATTGAGACGAAGAAAAATATAGAAGAAATAAAAAAAAACCTAAATCCAAATCCAAAATTAGCTACAAAATGGATATATACCGTACTCACACGTTTTATGAATTTGCACAAATTCGCATTTGTTTTCGATGAGCTTGAGTTGAAGGGATCGCCGTAAAAGACATTCCCTAAAGGTAAGAAAAAAGAATAAGAGCTAAATCCTGCATGGACTTTTTGTTATATTTTGTGCATTATGTACATTTATTTTTCGCATTTTGGTAAATTGTTGTTGGACCAAAGTGCAAAACAAATGTCCATAAACGAATGAGTACAAAGATCGAATTGAGAGCAGATGCATTTTACCATTTGCTTCCTTTGTTCATCTTATCCCTATATGTGTTCTCCTCCTTTCAAAATTGAAAGTCGGTATAACTATATGGTTTTGCACACGTAACGCATACCTTTTATACCCAGAAAAACCCACAGGTATACACTTGCACATGACTATGGGCATATTTTTTTTTATTGAACATTTTTTTGTATTCTAAAGAAATTGAAGCCTCTGGAAATGTTGAAGATTGATCACAGATAAACAACTACTCACTATTTTAGTCATTGTTCGTGTGAACATAATAAAAATGAAATTTATGGTGATCTTTACTGCAGTTTGTAAACAGATTTGTTTCCAAAGTGTTGCCCAAAATCCAATGGACTATTGCAATATAAGATATGAAATTCAAAAATCAAAGCATTTGGACAAATGTGGTCAAAGAGTATTTCTCGCAATGCAAAAACAACAAACTACTTCATACAATGTGTACATTTTAAGAAGCCCTTTATCAGTCTGTATTTCTCTTTCTGATGATTTCTGTTGTAATATAAACTTCCGATAAAGTACAAAACTTTACTGATTATTTGCCATTGAGCGTGTGGCATTGTTTGCTCATTCTTGTTTGGATAATTTTAGTTCAATCAACTTCAACAAGTGAATTTATATAATTTCCGTTGATATTTTCATCCAGTCTTTTCGAAAGTCACATCATAACAAATCACCCCCCAACAATATGGTTGTTTGTTTGAAATTCTTATTGAAAAATATTAATTTGCGTGATCTCGTTGCATTTACTTTGATTTCAGTGTTTGTTGCATATATGCAACTTGCACAATGTGACACAATCCACAAAGCAACATGAAATGAGATTGTTTGTTACAAAAAAATGGCATGTTTTATAATGCATTCTCCCAATTGAAAAAAACTGTAATTTGTACAGACACATACACACACATAAAAATATACACTCAATGTATATTCAATTGCATCAAAGTGAAAAGAAGCAATTTTTTGTTGTGGTGTATCCATATAACATTATATTAGTCTATTCATTCAACGATTTCATGCATCATTTGTCCATAGCACTTTGATTTTAGATTCCACTCCTGCTGTCCTTTTTACTGAGTTTTTTTCTATTATTTTCTGTCGCTTCGGTGTTGGAATTCGTTTTTTCGGCTCTTGACTGATATAGGTGATGTTCTTATTATTTTTGTGTAACAAGTCGTCGTATCTCTTCAACGTTATTCGAGTGAATTGTGTCTTGAGATATGTCGGTCTATTATCAACTACAATGGTACTAAAAGTGCTAGCGCATCACATCACAACACAACGCACACATATAAACAAAAAAAAATAACCAGCACAAAACCGAAAAGAGAGAGAGAGAAAGAGAATGAGAGAAAGCGAGAGTAAGTGAGAGAAACGGAGATGAAGAAAAATATTAAATGTAAATTAGATCGGCGGTTTTGCTCCAACACAGCGACTTAGCCGTTTGTGTACATCATTCTTTCATTGCATTACACTTTTGGTCTCTGGATATATCGTACGTGTCTTTCTTGTCGATGTGGCTATTCTCTTGCTTACTATTACATATCGCTTTCTGTTCCTTTGCTTCCACACACACACACATATACACACAGGCTCATGTTGGTTTTTACCATTTTTGGGTACATTGTTTGTTTATCTTAAGCTAAGTGAATTTTAGCTTGAATACATTCTATAATGCTGAATTCATTGTATTGTTATCGTTGCAGCCATTATTGCCATTTCTACTTCTATTTTTATCTGCTTAGTTTCGCCATTTTCTCTCAATGGATCTCAATTGTTTGGACTGACTTGAATTCGGCCAATAAAAGAAACGACGTGTTTTCAAAAGCACATCAAAATCACGTTCATATACCCATTTTTCTCCGGCATGTACGTGTAATGCATTGAGGTGAGAGTGTATTTATATGTGCCCTGTTTCATAGAGTGAATCGTGAAACGTGAATCATGTCTTGTTTTCATGGGAAAATTACACTTTCGATCTTTTCACATTATCATTTATTTTAACCGATCGATTTTTTTTTATATTATTAATTTATCTCACATGGAGATAGTTTGTAATTTTGTATTAATGTTTGTCATGTGAATGGAAATGGCACTCATATTTGCATTTTGGTTAACAAATGTCGGAAATAGATTGCTCTAAAGCTCGTTACGCACAGTTCGATAGTTTATGTGGAAAAGAGCAAAAATGTTGTAATGAATTTAAGTGGAGTTCTTAAAATTTCATAAATTATTTCATGTGATGCGGCATGATCTACAGCACCACACATTACGTGTACAAAACACATGTAATTCATTGGCTTTTAACAAGGTGATTACACGCCACTTGAACATTTTGAAAA